GCGGCGCCGGGCGGCCCTGGCCCTGACGCGGCGCCCCCCCGCAGGAGGCGGATCTGCGGCGCACGGTGGAGGAGAGCGGCCGCATCCAGCGGGGGTACGGGCACTACTTCGACCTCAGCCTGGTCAACAGCAACCTGGACAGGACCTTCCGCGAGCTGCAGGCCGCCATGGACAAGCTGCGCACCGAGCCGCAGTGGGTCCCCGTGAGCTGGGTGTACTGAGCCGCGGCCCGCCCCGTCCCCACCGGCGGCCCCAGCCGCGACCCCGGGCCCCAGCGGGCCCTCGACCCCGTGTCAGCGCAGAGCGCGCCCTGCCAGGGAGGTGCGCATTCACGGGGCACCTCCGTGCCCGGTGCTGCCCACTCCCCGTGCCCCTTGGCCCCCAGGCGTTCTCTGTGGGCCGGGCAGGACCCAGGCGGTCCCCGGGGCCGCCGCCACGGTACTCAGTCCAGAGAGGACGCGGCTTTGAGACCCCACGGCCCGTCGCTCGCTGCCGGCCCCCTCTCCCCGCGCCTGTCCCCGGACGCCACCCCCGCCTGCTCCGGCGCCCGTGCCCCTCGTCCTGGGAGCCGGCTGTCCCCTGGGCCGGTCGCCCCCACGGTGAGTCCCCTTCCACCGCAGCTTCTCACTGCCGAGCCCGCTGCTGAGGGCTCCCCGTCCCTGACGGCAGAGGGCTCTGGCTGTGGCCGGGGCGGGACATGTCCTGCGTCCCATCCCCGACCTCTGCCCGGTCTGGCCGGACACGCTGGGGTGCGCTCCGGCAGCTCCTGGCGGCCCAGCCTCGGCCCTCAGGGCCCCGGGGTGTGGCCTGTGGCCCGGCCTGTGCACCTGGGCCCTGAGGTGCGGGGGCTTGCGGAGGGGCCTGTCTTCGGGCTGCGGAGACCCTCACCCGGATGCCGGAGCCCGGCCCTCTGAGATGTCCCCTCCGCCCCTGCCCCCTCCCCGGATGTCACCCCCAGTCCTTGGGGAGGGCCTTTGTAAAGGAGGAGAGCCCCGTCTCGGGTCCCCTGACATCGCACCCCTTGTCCTTCCCCGTGGTCCTCCCAAGCCTGTGCTCACAGGGGACCCCGGGGACACCCCCATGCCATCCTCAGAGGGACCCCTGGGACCCTCTAACCTGTGTTCACAGGGATCCCCCGAGGATGACCCCCAAGTCTCTCCAGGACATCCCCACCCTGTCACGGGGGACCCCTGGGACACCCCCTACGCCATGCTCAAAGAGATCCCATAGGACATCCCCCAGCCTCTTAAGGGGTCTCCACAGGACGCCCCACCCCATCCTGACTTCCCGAGGACTCCCCGACCTGTCCTCACAGGGGACCCCCAGGAACCCTCACCCCGTCTTCACGGAGGGTTGCTTAGGACCTCCCACAGTCTCTCAGGGGTCTCCCCAGGATGCCCCCGCCCCACCCCCATAGGAGGCTCCCGAGAGCACCTGCGCTGTGCTCAAAGGAGACCTCTGGGGCACCCCCACCCCGTTCTCGGGAGGCCTCAAAACACCCCACCCAAGCCTCACAGCCGCCGAGGGTCAGACTGGTCTCTGCCGTGGCTTTCCTGAGAGACGGAGAGCAGCATCTGACATGTCAGAGGCGTACTTACTCTCCCAGCAGCCTCGCTGTGTCCATGGAGGACATGCGGGGGCTGGCGACCACGTGTCCCTCCTTGCCTTGGCCCTGCCCCTCCGTGCAGCCCTCCCTGCTCTTCCCTGGTGGGTCACCCCAGGCTGCAGGGCCTGGGTGGGGGAGGGGCTGTAGTGTCGCTTGGTGGCCCCCTTTCAGGAAAGGACCTGCTCCCCGTTAATCTTGCAAGCCCCCAGCTAAGCAGATGAGATGGGGGCTGTGTGGGCACCGGGCCTTTACGGTGGCTCCAGGGTCCATGCAGTCCTGCAGCTTCACCTCCAGTGACCCTGAAGTGGCTCCCCTACCTCCCTGCAGAGCCCTGCCCCACTGGGCACCTGACATGTGTGTGACCCCAGGTGGCCATGAGCCCGCCTTCCGCCTGCTTTGGGGTCCTCAGGAGGAGGAGGACCCTGCCCCCACGGTCCACTCAGTCACAGCCCAGGTCCCTCCCTTGGCCATCCGATTCTCAATTCCTGACTCTGGTGTTCTTTGTTTTCCTTTGATTAAATGTGAACGTTAGTGCTGGGCTCTGTCGTCTCTGGTCAGGCTGGGGACAGCTGTGGGGATGGAGAGGGCCAGGGGGCAGAGACAGGGACTTCACAACCAAAGCTGGGTGCGGTGTCCTTGGTCCCTGTCCCCTCAAGCTGCTCCTCCTACACCCTGTGCCAGGAGCATGAGATCTGGGGGCTGGGGGTGGCTCAGGTCCACGCCCAAGCTGAGGGGTTCCACTGGGGACCCGTGTGGCCTGCGGTAGCTTCACTGCCTGGCTGGGCTCGATCTGCCCTCATGAGGGTGCTGCGCCCTCCCCAGAGCTGGGACTAGCACTAGTGCCAGAGGCCCAACACATCACGTTGATGCCACCACGGTGGGTGTGGTAGACCCTGCTGCAGCTTGAGGGCACACAGTCCTTGCACCCTGGAGCTCTCTGGGGAGTCCACAGTGCTCAAGGATTTGCTGCGGATTCCTGGGGCGGGCCCCAGCCACGTGTGGACCCATCCCTTGCCTCGATTTCCCAAAGGACAGTGCTCAGGCTGGAGCAGCGCCAGCCTGGCCAGGGGTTTTTGCGTAGCTACGCGGCTTGTGTCATGGACTCACAGTGCTGGCGAGCATCGATACCTGGAAGTGCCCTGGACTCTCCTGGCACAGAGGTCTTTCTGCTCGGTTTTTTCTCTGAGTGTCTGCCTCCTCTCCTGGGGCTGGGCCCTTGCACCTCAGGCTGATCCAGGAGACATTTCTGTAGGATTCCCAGCAACCCTGCACCACAGCTGTCCCCGTCCAGCGGTTCTGTCCTCACGTGGGGGTAAAACAGCTGTGGGGGCCGCTGCAGCTCAGAAATTAAAGACAGAATTGCAAACCTCCAGGCCTGGTCTGGATCTCAGTGGTGGTGGTCCCTGTCTGTCAGCAGATAGATGGATGAAGAGAATGTGGTGTTTACACACAAAGGAGTACTATTCTGCCACAAAGGATGAACTCTAGTCAGTTGATGCACCTCGAGGCTTGCATATCACATGGTTTCTCTTCTGTGAAAAACCCCAAGTATAAATACAGAGTAAAACAAAAGACCATAGGAAACACCTTGTGCAAATGCGGAGGAGAGCAAGAGGTGAGGAAGGGGAAAGGGGAGGGGAAAAGAATTAGGGTGTACTCCGTACATGTACCAATTCCCAGCCGGGAGTGGAGGCACGCACGTCATCCTAGCAGTCTGGAGGCTGAGGCGGGAGGCGCACCGCAAGGTCAAGGCCAGCCTGGGCTAATGGGACGATGTACCAGCTCCCTAGGATGGATAATCACTAAGCACCACAAATGTACTAATGAAAAGCTTTACAAATCTCTGCTTGTCTTTTTGAGACAGGGTCTTGCTCTGCAATTCAGGCTGGGCTCAAACTCACTTTGTAGCCCAGGCTGACTTTGAACACCCAGCTGAACGGAAGTTTTAACAAAGATAGGATGGCAAATAAGTACCTGAAGAGGTGGTCAAGGCCATTAGTCCCTACAGAAATACAAATGAATGCTGCAATTTTGGTGCAATTTATAAGGATGGTTAAAAAGACTGTCATAAAAACAGCCAAACAAAAGAGATCTCAGAGCTGGACGTGAAAGCACGCACCTATAATCCTAGCGCTCTGGGAGGCTGAGGCAGGGCGACCACAATTTCAGATTCAGCCTGGATGATTTAACCAGACCTTATGTAAAAAAAAAAAATTCTTTTTAAAAGGTTGAGTACGTAGCTCGGTGTGAAGGCCTTGAGCCCAACTGCCACACACCCACACACACACACACCCTGGAAGAGCACACCTACAGATAGGAGGAGAGAGTGAAAGGCTCTGTGATCCTGTGTTATCCAGGAGCGAATGAACACAATACCAGTGGCCTTCTGTGTCCATGGGTTTGGTATCTGCTAATCCAACCACCTCAGATCTAGCCAAATGCAGGTGGAAAATGTTAAGATTGCATATGTACTGGATACCACTGAGGTTTCTGTCAGTATTTGCTGCACAATACAATGTAGCAAATGTTGACCATTTAGCCTGTGCTGGAGCTGTGGAGGCTGTGCGGTCTGTCTCGGCTGCTGCTGCTGGTTTATTGTGTGCTTGGGCGTGGGTGGAGTTGTGTGCTCACAGGTGGTCCTGGAACCCGCACCCCTGGGTACCCAGAGACAGCTGAATTAACTGCAGTCTCTATGAAGGATGTAAAGATTAGAAATAGAGGGTAAAGCCAGGTGTGGTGGCGCACACCTGTCATCCCAGCTCTCAGGAGGCTGAGGCAGGAAGCTGAGGCAGGAGGATCACTACGAGTTAAGGCCAGCCTGAACTACATAGCAAGACCCTGTCTCAAAACAAACAAAAAGGACAGAACCTTCATACGGTACACAGAGAAGGAAGGCCCCAAAATGAGCAATGATCCGAGCAAAACGTTAACTAGGCAGGAGAGCCCCAGCCGCGTGGCGCCCTTCTGCCCTCCCCTCCTCGCTTCCTCCTCTCCTGCCTCTCCCTCCTCGGCTCCTGCTCCTTGTGGTGAATTCGAAGACCCTTCTTTGTGGGCCTCGAGGGATGGGAATCACAACGTCCACGTCTCCACGGCCGCTTCTCGGTGGGGAGCCTGGGACCCCGATGACGTGGGGACAGCAGGCCACTCCCTTCAGGGCAGCCCCAGCGGAGGACCTGTACAAAGGGTAAACGGGGGCTCTCGCTGACCCCTTGAAACAGCACCCAGCTGCTCCCAGGGGCACCAGAGTGGCAACCTGGGCCCGACTGTGTGGTCTCACTCACCTGCCATCCTGCGGGGAGAGAAGCACAAAGGAGAGAAAGGAACAAAGCCGAGTCACAGTCTGGCCACAGTGGAGGCAGCCAGGTGCTCCCCCAGATGCAGGAGGAAGCTCTCGGCTTGCAGGAAGGGCTGAAGCACAGCTGGGAAACAGCTTCTCCTGCACATCCTCATTTTGAAAGAGCTCCCTGGTCCAAATCCCCGGTCTGCGGACTTGGGCACTGTGGCACCCGGCTGCTCAGTGATCGCTGTCACGGGGATGCCACAGCAGGCAGCTGGAGCCTAAGGCAGACCATTAAAGATCGCTCCACAGCGAGGCAGAGGGGTAATCAAGTCAGAAGCTGGCTGACAGCTCCACCTACTGGAGTGTCTTGGGGTGGGTCTGAGGAGGCCCCGGGTGGGAGACGGGACCTTGCCCAACCCCACCAACCGCACAGGCCACAGCGTCCCAGCGTCCACCACAGAGGAAGGATTTTCAGGACACATGAGGCATAAAGGCGTTCGAGGCAGGTTTTTAAAAGGGTTTTCCAAAAAAATATAGAAAGTGCATGCCTGAGGGCGAAGGGTGGGGAGGGAGGCTCTTACAGCCTTGGGCTGGGGACGTCATGCGGGACAGGGTAGAATCTGCCGGAGAGGAGATTCCATTGCCAGGGGAGAAGCAACAGCCCTTGCTGCAGGGGAAGGTGGGCAGCCAGTCCCCGGGGGACAGCATTGCAGGAGACAGAGCTGCAGCCATTCGCGGGAAAGGCCCTTGGCCGGGTGAGCGGAACCTGCCAGGCAAGGCGACTTATGGCGTCTCTAAGGACCTCAGGAGTTTTGCAGCGAGTTTGTGTCCTCAACTTGCATTTTTTATTACAAGTATAATTTTAAAATAATTCTTCTTGAGGGGCTGGGGATTTAGCTCAGCGGCTCAGCGGCACAGCACCTGCCTGGCAAGCACAAGGTCGTGAGTTCGATTCCTGGTACTGGAAAAAAACAAAACAAAATTCTTCTTGTCTCCTTTCTGCCTTTATTTCTTCTACCTCAGAAAAGCTTTTGCTTTTAGGCAAGCCTGCATACACACCCTTTGTGCTTTTTTTTTTTCCCCCCCCTCTTTTTTAGATCTTGATATGTAGCCCAGGTTGGCGTTGAGTTTATTTTTATTTATTTATTTATTTTTTGGTATCAGGAATCGAACTCACGACCTGAGGCTTGCCAGGCAAGTGTTATGCTGCTGAGCTATATCCCCGGCCCTGGACTTGAGTTTATAATCCTCCTGCCTCAGCCTCCCGTGGGCTGGGGCACAGCCCTGCACTATCACGCTCCTCTTAGAACTGCTTTTTCTATGACTTTTGTGGCTCTGCGTATTTCAGTAGGGTCAACATCGGTGATCCCTCAACCCCGAGAATTTGCACCCATGTCTCAGTGTGTTTCTCTTCACGGAGGACACTGCTAACTAACCGCCTGTGGGTGCTGCTCCTTGGCGCCGGCCTAGCTTTCCTGGGGGCCAGTCACCCCCACGTTGGAGGGGAAGTGACAGCTGACGTCATGCAAACTCTAGCCAAATGTAAGCAAGAGTGTAAGCTGAGGAAGAGCAGACCTTGGGCTGAGTTTACTCCGCGCCGACTTTAGGGTTAATCTCACCCATTCTGCGGTGACTGCAGCTTAAGACACTGGGCAGCAGCTACGGCGCTCTTCGGGGGTCGCAGCGGCGCACCTCGTCTGCTTTGGGGTCGGGCTGCGGGCGCCCTGCCGCCGGGGCCGCCCCGAGCCCGTGGTCGCGAGCGCAGCCACTTCCGGCAGGAGCGAAGGGGCGCGAAGG